CCCCCCCTTTCCACATGCAAGCTTACACGTGGTGACCTCCGAAGTGATCAGGACTCAGCCATAGCCTGGCACAGAGCAAAAGAGACAGACAGCTTACCAGCTGGTTTTTGGTCTAGAACTGGATTAATAAACAGCCTGAGAGCTGGGAAATGGGGTAAGATCCAGGGTACAGGACATCAGGGCCTGGATCAGTGCATGGAACCCGAGATAGCCTGAGAGCTGGGAACAGCATAAAAGCTGGAACAGTGTAAAAACCAAACTTTCAGTGAATAACTGGGTCTCACTGGCTAGACAGTGATAAAAAATCCCCTCAGCAGACAGCAGAAAATACTGCAAAAGTTTAAGAACCTGTTTTACGTACTGGGATCGCCTAGGAGACCATGAGAGCTTGGATCTCAGGACCAGAAAATGTTGCTATAGAGCCCCACTCGGCACAAAGCACCAGGACTCAATCAGAAGGCTGTACAGACCTTTTTATTAAAGCAACATGTTGCTTTTATAATCTTACAAGATGCTTACATTTAATTAATGAAAACATACACTGCCCATTGGTTATAAAAAAACAAAACTTTTGATAAGTAAATGGAGCCATGTCACTGTGTGAGACAACCAAAGTTCAGATCTTTTTACTTTCTCTCTTTCTTCACTTTGTCATGGTGATAACCTTGGTGACTTCCTCGAGAGAGATATAAGGCTTTCCTTATCCTGAGGAAGCCTCCTGGCTGGCTCACAAGAGCGGCACAGAAACATCTTTCCTACAAGAAAATAACATAATAAAGGTACTGATTTTTTTCTTTCAAAAAAGAAAGATTGTTTACCCAGGGAGAAAGGGAACCCCAGCAGATGCCGGCATTACCCAGGGAGCCAGCAGAATGGATTGCAAAATCTATCTCCCTGTGGAGAGATGGAGGGCACCACAGCCCCGATTTCTCCGAGATGTCCTATGCCCTCCCCAGGCTGCAGTAATCACTATGCAGCCACCTCGGGCTATCATATTGCTTACCCAGGCGGGCACATCATGCCGCCCTGCTTGGGGGAACAGACCAAGTAGTGGGTGCTTCTGCCCCATAAGGGCTGCCGTGCCACCCGGCCGCTCCAACCTCTCCCGGGACTGGGAGGAGCCCTGCAGCCACTGCTCCGTCCTACGTGATCCGTGGGATCCGCCCCACACCCTTCTGGGCCGGCCCGGCAGCACCCCTCATCCAGCTGACATCACGGGGAGGAGCCGCAGCCCCGGTCCAGCCTCGGTGGGGCACAGCCACGCCTCCGGAGGGAGCTACCCCACCACCAAGCCTGCGTCGAAAGAAGGCTGCAGCACTCAGAAGCAATGCGTGGGAGGAGCCTTTGCCGAGGTCCTGCTAGGGAAAAGGCAATGTAGGGTGTGCGGTATCACAGGGGCAGAGATGGTCGAGTCTGCCCAAAGAGATGTAATCAGACAGATGGGTTAAATGTCTCACAGCAGCTAAGGTCGAGACACACAATCACCCAGACAAGCGAGAACCCAGCAATGTAAATGGAAGGTAAAAAGCAAAGAGACATTAACTTTCCTCCCTTGCAAAGCATTACAATCATGTTACCTCCTGATAAATCAAGGTTTTTGTGGTACAAAAATTCTAATAAAGACACTGAAAGGTTTCCATACAAAACTTATAATAAAGTACAACTGTTTGTAAAATATGCATTAGAACTCAAGGTACAATATTCATTATGGACGATTACATTTGTTAGAACCAAAATTAACAAGCCCAGTAAGGCTTGTTAATGATCAGTAAGGTGTTACATTTCTGCCTCAGACTATTAATGATGTGTATCAGGGAAGCATTAGTGTGTGTATTATGTACTTTTTTCATACTCCTACTAATTATTGTCGCAGTATCTCAAGAAGGATGGCTAAGACCCAGGAAGTGTCCACTGAAATACCCATAGCAAAATTAATTAATCGAAAGTATATTTCAGTTGCAAAGTTCTTCAACTGAAGTTTTGCCACTTGTTATCATTTAAAAAAAATTTGAAAGCCAATTATTAAATCACTAACAAAATTCCTAGCTTCTAACAAGGGAGTATTGCCTACACTGTTATGCATGTTAATGAATTTAGCTTTGTTTAGCACTGGATATTAATACAAACTTGTTTTTATGCAGGAAATCTCTCAACCAAGTCACTGGCCTGATCAACCTATGAACCTGGCTGCTAAAGATTCTGTGCAAAAAAGCTAACCTTTTTTTTTTTTTTTTTTGAGACAGGCATAGAGGCTTTGTCCAGAGTAGCCCTCCCAGTTTGCTCATAATGAAAAAGAGACCTTTCAGCAAACCCTCTGCCTTATTAATACTGTTAAAAAATGCATGCTTTTTTTCTATTTATATTTCTATTTATTATAAAAAAAAAAAAAAAAAAGAAGAAAAAGGGTTGGGGTGAAGGCACACCCCCCTTTTTTGAGTTTTGAGTGGTGTCATGTTCTTATGTTTTATAATGAGTCATATAACAGTACAATATTCCTAAGAAATCCAAGGTAAAGGACACAGGGCAGCATTCTGAAGTTTCTTTAACAGAACAATGGATCACAAATGACCACCTACAATCAATATAAGGACTTGAATTGTTTACAAAGTACTTCCCTGTTTACAAACTTTTTCTGTTTACAGATTGTTTTCTGGGTGCTCAGTTCTTCGAGGGATAAATGGGTTACAGGTTGTTTTAAATAATTGGGCTTTTCTATAAGGTTAAATGGGTTAAAGGTTGAATGGTTTTTGCTTTTTTAAAATTATAACATATAAGCATTGCACCTGTGTTCCGAGTCCTCCCCCTGAACAGAAATGCTGCAGCTTTGGTGCAAATTTGGCCATGCTGTCTTTTGTTGTCCCATTTGTAAAGGGCCCTTGCAGATGGGTAAGAGAAAACAAATTACAAATTTTATTAAACAAAGAAGGGTGATATGTTACCGGATATCACATTTCAAGCCCTGGGATTGACTGACAGGGGCTCAATCAGATCTCTTATGAAGCAGCAAGCATTTCACTGGCCAGATCCCAAGGGGGCATGGAGTCCAGACCAATAAGAATATCCAGACCGCGTCTTTCAAAATACCCTTTATAAGGAGAGTGTCATGGAAAATAAATCTCTCTGTTGCTACATGAACATCTGGAAGTGAGGTGTCTTAGTCTCCTTGCCCCTCACTCCTCCACCACATACAACCTAACACACCACTTCACCACCAGTGGTGCTTCTTTTCAATTCTTAACCAGGACTAAATCCCCTGGTTGGATGTTATGAACAGCAAAGTCCAAAGGCAGGGGCTGTGCCAGCTGAGTTGCCTGTTGAAGGAGAGTTCACAAAAGACAGTATCCTGGAAACATATTGTTTTAAAAATACATCACTTATCTCCATTTCCCACTAGGCTTAGAATTACCTGGGTAAGGGATGTCACATGGAAAATTAGAAATTGCTGGCAAAGAAAGCAAATATCTAGCAATTTTCCACTGCTGGCACCAGCACTGCCCAGATCTGGTGTTTGCTGGCATCCCCTGTGCCCAGATCTGGAAATTCCCCGGTGCTGGTACAGCCCAATTCCAGCAATTTACTGGCAAAGTGTGAGAACCCCGGGCTTGGTCTAGGGTCTCGTGTGGTGGTAAAGTCTCTCCTCCAGCCTGTGCTTCCAAAGAAAAACTCCGCAGCCTCCTGTTGTTCGGTCTCAAGGCAGTTTATTGCGAGTTATCTAAATGATTTTCTTCTTAGGCTGTGGCAGTTTGGTCAGCAGCCCAGGCAGAGGCACACACACACCCTGACATCCTCTCTGTCTGCTGCCTTCTTCTCTCTCCCCGCCCAGGACTGCTGCTATCTTTTATATGATATATTACGTATTACATGTTTATAGTTTTCCCCCAATATTTACTACCTATATTACAAAGTGCTTTTCTACTCTAAACCAATCTGTGAGTGCCAACATCACCAAGAACATGGAGGCAAGGAAAAAGAAGGAGGAAGAACAGGATCAGCCCACTTTCCTCCATCTTAGAACTTCTGACCCCCATGTACAAAGTGAAAACCCCCCTGTACAAGTGTTAAACCCCCCTGTACAATACTAAAAAAAATTCCCCTCTACTTTGTAACTACTTCTACTATACTATCTAACCCTTTGTGACTGCTTGTTCCACCTCCAAAGTTGGTAACTCATTCCATAGCTCAAACTCAAAATCACAGCTGTTTCCAGCTGCCTGCCAGGGTCTAAAATGCTTCTGACCAAGGCCTGGAACCTCTAAAAATGTCTGAGAGACATTTTGAGTTCCAACAGGAAAGAAAGCCAAAACCCAGTAATTTCTTGGTTCAGGCACCAACACTGCCCAGATCTGGTGTTTGCTGTCACTGCCGGTGCCCAAATCTGGCAATTTCCCAGTGCCGGCGCAGCCCAAATCCAGCAATTTGTGGGTTCAGAAACCCCAAATCTGGCAATTTCCTGGTGCCAGCACCGGCACCACCCAGATCCGGTGTTTGCTGGCACCGCCAAAGCCCAGATTCAGAAATTTCCAGGTGCTGGAACAGCCCAAGTCCAGCAATTTGTTGGCACAGAAAGTTGAAATTTGGCAATTTCCTGGTTCCAGCACCTTCTCACCCACATATGGTGTGCGCTGGCACTGCCAGTGCCACAATCAAGAAATTTCCCTTTTCCGGGCCAGCCTAAGTGCAGCAATTTGTCTACACAGAAAACCAAAACCCAGCAAATACCTGGTGCCAGTAGCACCGAGATCAGGTGTTTGCTGGCACAACCAGTGCCCAGATCCAGATATTTCCCAATGCCAGCACAGTGGAAGTCCAGCAATTTGCTGGCAAAGAAAGTCAGTGCCTGGCACCACCACCAGCACTAGCACCACCCAGATCTGGCATTTGCTGGCAATTCCAGGGCCCAGATTCAGAAACTTCACAATACTGGTACAGCCCAAGTCCAGCAGTTCTCCAGCAAAGAAAGCCAAAACCTGTCAAATACCAGGTGTCAGCACCACCCAGATCTGGTGTTTGCCAGCACTGCCAGTACCTAGATCTGGCAATTTCTCTGTGTGGGCACAGCCTAAGTGCAGCAATTTGCTGGCACAGAAAGTTAAAATTTCCCTGTGCCAGCATTGTCCCTGCCCAGATCTGGTGTTTGTAGAACCACCAATGATGATACCTGGAAATTTCCCTGTTCCAGCACAACCCAATCTGGTGTTATCTGCCTGCAGGACAACAGGAAAGAAGGAAGGGAGGAAGAAAAGGGGAAGGGGTCGAGATCTGGTTCTTACCTGCACCTGGAACCTGAGCTCTGGTGTTTGCTGTCACTGCCAGTGCCCAGATCTGGCAATTTTCTGGTGCCAGCACAGCCCAGGTCCAGCAATTTGCTGGCAATGAAAGCCAGTGCCTGCAATTTTCTGGTGCTAGAACCAGCACTGCCCAGATCTGGTGTTTGCTGGCAATGCCAGGGCCCAGATGCAGAAACTTCCCTGTGCCAGCAGAGCCTGAGTGCATCAAGTTGCTGACAAAGAAAGACAAAATCTGGGAATTTCCTGCTACCAGCACCTTCCCTGCCCAGATCTGGTGTGGGCTGGCATTGCCAGTGCCCACATCTGGCAATTTCCCTGTTCTGGGACAACCTAAGTCCAGCAATTTGCTGGCAAAGCAAGCTAAAATCTAGCAATTTCCTGATGCCAGGACCCAGATTCAGAAATGTTGGGAAGGATGGATAAATATAATTATTCATAAATAATACAGCCAGGATGAGAACGGTCCTCCCTGCTAGCCGGACAATGCCCTTGCCTACAGATGGGTCAAGGGGTCAAGTGGACTGTTCCATCTCACCCCCCAAAATGTACGGTTCACCCCGCACCTGTAACCCTCCCCTAAAACATCAAGTGTCTGTAACCCCATTGGCCCAAGTCTTGTTCCAGCCCACCTTGAAGCCTCCTCATAAGGGGTCTCCAAGGGGCCAGACGCTGTCTTGGAACTTCCCCTCCTCCTGGAACTTCCCTTCTCTTGGATCTTTGCCCTCATAGGACCTCCACCCCTTCCTAGAGCATCCTCTTGTCTCTCCCCTCCCCAATCTTCTCAAGCCTCACCACGTGCTGTGTCTGGCAGCTCGAAGCAGGACCTTTCTCCATCCCTAATAAACCTTATATCCCAAAAGCAGCCTGCAGAGATCTCTCGTCTTCATTCACCTAAACCATCCTGGAGCACAGCGCTCCCTACACAGAAATTTCCCTGCTCCAGGACAGCCTACATCCAG